CTGGGGAATTCTGGGAGTTGAAGTCTACTCCTCTGAAAGTCGCCACCGTTGAGAAACACCGCATTAGATGTTGGAAGAAGAGCATTGGTTAAATCTCAAAGTATCGGACACGTGGAAGTGAAGGACGTGGAATTGGAGACCGGTCAGTTCAATGGCGTTTCAGCCAACAGGCCAATAAAACATGCAGCTGTTTTGGAGTCACACAGGACTCCTGCAAAAACTACTCCTTCATTTACTCCCCCCGTTCAATATTCAGAAAAACGTCCATCTTCCCCAGGAAGCAGTTATCCCAAAACATTTGGAAACGCCAGTCAGGGAGCAGTGATTGACAAAGAGCTGTGGAATGGGGAAGACTGGTCCTAAACCTTTGTGTGTGTGTGGGGGGGGGGGGGGGGAGTCAAATGACTCATAGAATTTAAAAAAAACAAACAAACCAGGTGTTCTTCAACTTATATAACTCCCAAATTATACAAGTTTGACAAACCATATTTGCCTTGATGAATGCCCAACGTTTGGGGTGATTTAAATCACCCACTAAAGAGGGGCACAGAGGGTCTCCCTGTTTGTGGAAGTTGGGGATGGCGTGAACAGGAACCTTCTGTTAAGAGAGGCTGCAGTATGGGGATAGGGATTTGGGGGTAGCTTTGCACCTACCCTTGCTGCCCCCCTCCCAGCAGCATCCTCTGGATCTGGGAAGCGTGGGGCAGGGGGAGGCAGAGGCTTCTCACCTCAAGATGTAAAAGGTTCCAGACTTGCTGCAGGGGGGGTAAAACTTTGTGCCGGTGATGAGATGATCCCCCCGAATGGAAATTCCACAGCTGAGCCTGAAAGGTGGTGGGGGCGGAGGAAGAAGAGACAGAGACCAGGTTAAAAAAGTAAACTTTTCTTCATGGGCTCCTTTGTGGAGTTTTGTTTGGCAACTGCTTTCCTCTGGAATTTTTATTTTCACCTTCCCAGTCTCGTAGTCTCAACATTTCCTGGTCGTCTCCCATCCAAAAATCATCCTGGACAGGCTGTGCTTAGCTTCTGCGCCTGGGCAAGGTTGGTCAGGAAAACACCAGGCACTCTCACGCTGTCTTGCCCAATACATTTTTTAAAAAGGGTGGGACCTCCTCCGCCTCCCCACCCAGCCCCGCTGCTGCTTCTCCTAAGGCCAAATCCTGCACACACCCCTGCCAGCAGGCGGCCATTCCTACCTGCTGTAGCCGCCCAATCCGGGCATGCATTTCTCCGTAGCTCCCATAGTCGCGCTGGTGTCGGGCAGCGTTTTGGTAGCACCGAACAGCCTCCTCGCAGTCTTGCTCCGACTCGTAGATCTCACCCAGCTGCTCCCAGAGATGAGGCTGGCCCTGGTCCCGCAGCAGAGCTTGGACGCAGCCATGGATGGCCTCCAGCTTCCCATGCAGGGGACGTGGGGGCAGATTCCTGGGGGGGGAGGAATGAGAGGGGAACGCGGTGAGCAAGCGACAGTGGGAAGGGAGCAAGTGGGGCAGGCTCCCTGGGAAGGGGTGCTGGTGGCGTACGGAGTTAAAGGGCGGGC